ATTGAGCCATTGACCACCACGCTCTCATTTTTGGCCAGGTGATTTTCTCCATATGCCCATACACTTGCAGGCTCTTTTCTTTGTAGATCTGTTATCAGCAGTTACTGACTGACTCTCCCCTGTTGTATCCTACAGATGCATCCAGCATCTTTTGACCAGCTCACAGCTACACTGGGGCTAGACTGTAAAATAAAATAATTCAAAAAGCTCTGTATTCTGTTGAAGCTATGATAATCTTAGTAGGAAAAAATGATGGATACGATACAAATACATGCTGTAAGCCTGGTGTAGGTTATTTTAAAGCGTTGTTGGTTAACAGTTATACAGTGATGTCTTTGTGGGTTAGATTACAGATAATACAGTTTTGCATGATTGATTAAGCAAATACTGTACAAAACACAACATTATGTAATCAGTTGCTCATGTTGGCTATTTCTTCATGTATTGTTGTGGTAAATACTAGAGTAGAAAGCTGTAGTCAAGTTGGGTTTATATTACTAGCTGCCACACTTCAAAAAGGGGCAACAGTAAGACTTTTTTTTTTTTAAAAAAAAGATTTATGCTCCTATATGACTAAGATACTTTGAAAAGTTATCCTGTAAACAATCTAGATTGTAGGGTGGGCCTTTTCTTTTGAATTTTGTAATGCATAAAGCATCTGCTGCATGGGAGGGAAGAAGTGTAGCATGTTGGGGTAAGACTTTGCCTGTAGGATTATATTTGTGAACCACAATCTTTGTATAAACAATGTGCAGTTACTTTTATCATTTTAACATTGATGTAGACCAGTGATTTTGATTTACATTACCACATCTGTACTGCTTAGCACTTCAAATATAAAATTGAATTCATTTTCTGTAATGTTTCATGATAGCAGCTGAGGATATTGCTTTGCAAGAGTCAGCAACCATGTGGAAGATTTTAGAAAATGCATCTTCCTTCTTGGCATAAAAGTATGAGAACTAGGAAAAAAAAATATTGTAATTTCTTCATAAATAATGGGGAACTGCAGTATGCACTTGGGAAATTCTTATCTTAAATGTCTGTTGATGGCAACCAGCTTTACCTGCATCCTCCTTCTGGTGTTTATTTCCACTTCTACTACTTCAGATGGTAAGCACTTGGGAGCTGTAATTAGACTTCAGTGAATAATTGATTTATTTTTTTAAATAAATTTCATAGAAATTTGTTTTGGCTATAACAATATTTTAGGGGTTTTGTCTCTTTTTAATGTTTTGGAGGTACACTTCAGTATAGTGTGCCAGAGTTAATTTCTGAAGTGTGGATCTGTCTGAGGTGGATCCTGCTGGCTATGTGCCTCCCATAATTTGTCAAATGTTCAGACACTTCATTAGCGCTGTTTGTATCCACATTCAGCTACCCTGAGGACACAGAGACTAGACTACAGCAGCTAGTCAGCTCCTTCTGATCAGTCTTCATAAGAAAAAGGGGAAAAAGACTGTTGGCAAGAAGTAACAAGTAGCTGTGTGTCAACAGCTCTGCACCGTTCTGCCCTGGAATCACTTTGAGGTAGTGTGGCACTGACAAAAAGACTCCTGGCTCTGCTGTTTCAGAGAGCTGAATGACAATTAACTTGTCATGGTTAATCTGCTGCTTGTGGCTTTTCATGTAGGTAGGTGACAGAGACCACATCATAACTTTCCCAACTCATTTTTAACTTTCAAATTTTTTACTATATTTGGTTTTGGGTTTTTTGAGTTTTATGTGCGGCTTTTCCCTCACAGAAAATATCCAGTAGGAGATAAAATACTTGATGTTGTTGTGTTGTTTTGTTTCTTTTTTTTAATTACTGTAGTAGGACAGGAACCACTTTATGAGCAGTAGGAAACTAAATGTGGAAGGGACAGTGGCTCATTTTGTTTGCTCCAATTAAGATAGTATGTGATGAAAGTGTAATTTTCTGGAGCCAGTAATGCAGGCCACATCAGCTGCGCTCTGCAGTTAGCTGCTAGCAAAAATTTGTCAGCAACAATTTAGAGCTTGATTGAAATTTTTGGGTTGGTTGAATATGAGAGTTTTAACTTCTGTTTTTGGGCTCAGGTGCCTAGTTTAGGAGGGGAGAGGTCAGGTTGTCAGGAAAAAAAAATGCTTTCAATGCTTTCTGGCCCTGGGGTTGCTATACAGATACTCAGAGAAGGAGATTACCTTAACATAACCACAGTTCTTAAATAAATGCATCTGTAGATCCCATAAGCTACTTCGCTGCTTCTGCAGCATAGGGAATTTTATTTCATTTCTTGTGTTGTGGACAGTGACTGGCAGTAGTTGCTGCCAGTTGATTTGCTGGTTTTGTCTCCAAAAGGAATTAGGATGATGGGCAAGATCTGACAGGACCCATCATTGGAATCATTCTGAATTCCTGTGCATATCTGCAGCAGAAGTGGGGCATATATGTTCTTTACATCAGACTAATTCCTCACGTAGGCAGAAGACTCTAGGTTGTCTGTCAAAGCACAACACTTTTTTTTTTTTTTTTTTTTTTTTAAATTGTACTCTGTTTCTTGCGGCTGAAATAGTTTGAATTCTTCAACATAAAATCTACTGGAAAAAAAAATCACCTGGCTTTTGAGCTATAAGGGCCACTGAAAGTGCTTAATATGTTTCTAAAGTAAGATAGACTATTGCAGAAGGTATGGGATATTTGTTACAGTATTGCTTTGACCTGGCAAAACATATAGCATGTATGGAGCTCCTAAGTTTGTACTCACTGCTTGTTTTAAGAATATATTGAAATGCTTTGTTCAAGCAGATGATGTTCCCATAACAAAAGGGTGTTTTTTCAAAATTTAAAAAACAAAACCAACACTTTCATATCCATGACACTGTTTATAAATTATTTTCACAGTTTTCTGTAGTGTCAACTTACTTTCAATTGTTAACAAAAACTCCTCTGCATGTCATGATATGAATGGAATCAAAGGGGGGAGGGGAAGGAAATGCCAGACACTGCTTCAACGTCTTGTTTTGTCCTGTCTTCTGCCTGTCTCAAATAGTAATGCTACATATTTGCATGGTCCTTAAATTGTTATTTTTCTAATTTTGTTATTGAAACAGGCAACAACAGAGAGACCTTTTATACAGAAGCTGTTTCGACCAGTTGCTTCAGGAGGACAGTTGCATACTTTGGGAGATCTGCTAAAAGATGTGTGCCCTAGCGCTATCGCCCCTGAAGGTACTGTAGAAATAACTTTTGTCCAGTAAGATAATATTTTCTGTTGATTTATTGTTTTGTGGGTTTGTTGGTTTGGGGTTTTGGTTTGGTTTGGTTTTGGTTTTTATATGGGATTTTGGGGGTAGAACTATGTCTTGGTATCAGAGTTTCACGTTTCGCTCCCTTCTGATCCTTGAGTGTGCCCATTGTACTTTACCTGCAGTGTTTGGAGAGGAAAAGGTTGAGTCCTTAGACACTCCTGAAAAATTAATCTCTGGGAATTTTATTTTAAATTACCTTTAATTTTATATTGCATTGACTTTTCATATGCAAAACTCTAAAATTGATAGAAATTGAAGGTATTTTCAGAATGTTTTTTTCCTTGTTGAAGCTCAACCTTTAAAAATGTACCAGAAGAGATTGCTATATGTATGTAATACTTTATGTATGATAACTAAGTAGTATTGCGTGACAAGGTACCAATTAGTTCATGTAGCATTATATAATTTCATGCAATAGCATTTGTTGATCAGCACTTACTCAGAAAAATAAGCATTTCTGGAGCTTGCTCTAGCCTCAGAGATTGCAATTATTGGGACTCTGATCTACTTTTTAGGTGCAGTAAGTGTAAAAGCTATGTGTTTTGCAAATTAAGATCAAAATTATTTAATGTGAAATGTTTTTCATCTTGTGCTTGTTGTTGTCTTACCTGTAAATGGGTAACTTTTTTTCAGTCAACGAATTGTCATTTGTTTTGAGAAATGTCTGATATTCTAGAGAAGATCTTGGCACAGATTTTGGTGTAGTATCAGCACCTTTTGACAGTAAAGCACTAAATTTGAAATCAGTGTAAAAATCTATTAAGATGTTGGACACAGAAGTTGTGTAACTCAAAATCAAACAGTTGTCATAGATTTATTTAAGTATGGTGATCTTAGAAATTGACTGAAATCTCAAAGTGTTTTTTTACCCCTGTTAATACTTGTTAATACATGGAAACAATTTCCAAAATAACAAAAGGTAAGAAAAACATGGAATGCTGATAGCCATGTCCCCACTTTTCCTAAAGCCTCTATAAATTTTAGAGGATACTTTCAGGTAACACATTCAACTAACTTTCCAAAAGATAAACCGAGATACAAATAGACACACAAATGTTAGCACAAGCAAGTTTAACCATCTTCAGATGCTTAAGTGTGAGGATCCTACAGACACTAGTGAAAAGGTACAAAGTGAATTTTAAAAGAAGAGTAAGATGGATGGTGCATTTTGAAGGCAGTCAAGAGCACAAATTAAATACTCAAAGCATTTATGCAAAAGTTATTCCAGGATATAATGGATGATAATTTTTATGTGGATTTGCTAAGGCTTGCAGATGGGGAATGTGCTAGTTACTGCCTTTATTAAAAGTGTGTATGTAATGTCATTTTATCTGAGTGCCGGTGACTTGATGCTTCCTTTCCAGTGTTGACAAATGCACCAACCTTTAATAGCAGAATAGAAATGTGACAGGCTAATTGGTTGCTTCGTTATTGTTAAAGGCTTAAAAAACCCCTATACTGTTTACTCAATGAGCAATAAATGGTGTTTACATGGGAGAAAATAAACTAAAATAAATACTATCCTTACACTTAGGAGGAGCGAATTGAAATTTGTTACAAAGGTTTCCTTGTGTTGGAATATACTCATGTGCTTCTGTATAAATCTGCTTAAATTTGGACTAGTTTTGATCCTTAAGATTCTACTGAGCAATTTTCAAACTTGGAGTTTAATAAATGTGATCCCTCACATGGGTGTGAGCTCTCTAGGATTCAGCAGAATTTCTCCTGTAATGCAGCCTTGTATTGTTGCGTTGTTCAGTTGCTCCTCTTACGTTCTGAGTGTTCTTGTCCCCTTCTGGTAGGTAAAAGAAGGAAAGCTGTCTGAGCTAAATGCAGAAAATAATGTGAACTTTTGAGGAGATGTGGGTGTAGACTGATACATAGAACCAGTGGAGGGAGAGGCAGTCTGACTAAATGAGTAACTTGGAAGAAAACAACAGATCTGGGAGTCATTAAATGTGATGGGGAGAGCGACTATAAACAGTGTGGCAAAAGCCAAAAATTGACATAATACTTTGTCCAGGTGTTCACAGTTAAGTGGGATAGCACTCAAGGATGAGGGAGAAAGAAGCGTATTGCATGTGGATCATACACTGAGATTATGCAAGGCATCTGTGAAAGAATGGGAGTGAAAGTCCTGCTGGTGAAGTGACTCGGGTTGTCTGGAGACCTGTTTAGAGGAACAAATTGAATCAAAAGTTGAAAAGGAGGACAATTTGCACGGCAGAACGAGAAGATGCAGGTGGGTAGGTGGTCAAGTGGAACTGGAGTTAAGCATCTGGGGAAGACTTGTTCAGTGTTAAAGTAGGCTGCCCCCAGACAGGAATACGAAGTAGAAAATTAAGAAACAGAAACAACATGGAAAGAAAAAAAGACTTAGAAGATAGATCAGGAAGAAGCAGAACTAGGACAAAATGGAGGGATGATAGAGAAGGGATCATATTATGTTAAATGACCTGAAAAGATGGATGCCCATGACAGCAGTGATGCTTACTGCTGAGTAACGTGCACAGGTAAGGTCAGCGTACATCGGAGGTGTGAAGGGCAGTGTAGGTTTAGGCGTGACTGCTCCAGTTCATCATACGCTGTTCGCTGATGATTCAGCTTCGCCAATAAGTCAGATTTGATTATTCTCTTGCTTGGTTTAATCCCCTTACCTCATTCACTATTCAGATATCATGTGTACCGTATTAAGTGTTCATGCTCTAAAACAGCTTGGTCTGTTGAAAAACCCACTAACTCGCCAGACTTGCATAGTCATAGAATCACAGAATCAGAATCATAGAATGGTTTGGGTTGGAAGGAACCTTAAAGACCATCCAGTTCCAACCCCCCTGCCATGGGCAGGGACACCTTCCACTAGACCAGGTTGCTCAAAGCCTCATCCAGCCTGGCCTTGAACACTCCCAGGGATGGGGCATCCACAGCTTCTCTGGGCAACCTGTTCCAGTGCCTCACCACCCTCTCCGTGAAGAACTTCTTCCTGATATCCAATCTAAACCTCCCCACTTTCAATTTAAACCCATTACCCCTTGTCCTGTCATTATCGGCCCTTGTAAAAAGTGTCGCCCCCCGCCCCCCCGACTCAGCTTCCTTGTAGGCCCCTTCAGGTACTGGAAGGGGCAATAAGGTCTCCCCGGAGCCTTCTCTTCTCCAGGCTGAACAAGCCCAACTCTCTCAGCCTGTCCCCATAGCAGAGGTGCTCCAGCCCTCTGAGCATCTTCGTGGACTCGCTCCAACGGGTCTATATTGCTGGTCATAGACAGCAATAGACAACCGGTCTATAGTGCTGCTACTTTTGAGTTTTGCCTATAGAAATGTTAGCAGCCATAACGAGAACATACTACTTCCTTTTCCGGCAAGTGGACTAGGCTCCTGAGAATACAGAACCTCAGCACATCGGTGCTGCTGAAGTCTCCATGAATCCCACTGTCTACTCAATTTCTTTCTGATGCTGGTTCACTGAGAGTTTAAGCAGCTGCTTCTGTCAATACATGCTCCATCAGTTCAAAATGAAGAGGAGATTGTAGAGCTGAGTCATTCTCTCCATTTTATGGGCATAGAAGGATTTAATTTGCAATCATTTTTTGGAAACATTGGAAACTATGCATGAATATTTTTCTTCCAAAGTAGTTCTATGAATTTGAAGTCAAATACTTGAAATTTAAGAGGTGTCAGAGTTGTAGACTGCTTTAATTTCCATACACATGCACACTGATCATTATACAGCTTCTGCTCTTTAAGATCCCTTCCAACCCAAACCATTCTATGATTCTGTGATCTCCCTTTGTCTTCTGTGACACTTCTGTCTTCCTGCACAGGCGGGGCATGTTTTGGTGTCAGGACTCTGTAGTGAAAAATCTTTGTCCTGATTGTTGAAATGATGGTTGGGGAATGAGTGTACTTCAGGAAGTACTAGAATTTAGGCAGCTGAATACTGCCTTTGGGAATTGAATTCAGTTCCTTCTCCCCTAGGGAGTTAATTTGTATGTGGTACTAGGCAAGCTGAGTGTCACAAACCCATCCGTTTTGTAGAGAGGAGCACTGGAAGAATCCAGTGATCAACAAGAGTGTTCTGCTGAATGGATTTCTTCCTTGTACTTGGAATCCCCGAGGGCTCTGGGGCTTTCAGTGTGCAAACACCAGGTGCTCTCTGAAGTCAAGTTCTAGGCCTCTCATTACTTTTATTCTCTCCCACCCTTAAAAAATGGATACTTCTGGCCATGTCGTCTCTTTGATTTCAGTATGTGATCTACAAAATGATAATACAGTCTTTTTCCACAGGAGAGTCTTGATGAAACAGTTTCTGAAGGAAAAATAGCTTGTGGTCAAGACTGTTTGAATTTCATTATATTAAAAATTGTCCTCTTTGGACCTTTTTTGTATCTTCTAATTTTTGTTCATGTAAACTTAAGTTTTTCTTAATCTACAATTTATAGATTATCAAAGGCATATTAGAAAATGGTGGCAAACTCTTTTCCACATCTGGAATTTCAGACTTTATTCGATGTTATCAAAGTTGAGATCGACTTAATTTTTCTGAACAACAGAGAAAAAAGTAGTATCTCATCAATGATTTGCTTAAAGACATAATAGATATTGGTGAAGCGAGTTTGTTTTCAACCATTTTTACTAAAAGTAATTCAGATTTTTTTCCAAGACTGTTTTTTAACCCCCCCCTTCAGTGAATTAATGCATTGATGACATTAGCTGCATCTCTTTATCAGTGCAACACAACCAGTATGACCTTCTCTTTCTTTCTGTTTTTCTCCATCTGTTCAACTTTTTTTTAGCCTTTTCCTCTATGGTTTTGTCATTTCCAATGACTTTTCATTCAACTGGAAGCTTCACGTTAATTGTGGTGATTGCTTGCCTATGGTGACATCCGTAACTGAGCTTTGTGCCGTGGGAACACAGAGA